TCAAAAATCAAAAAAAGCCAAACTAACACTAACAACAAACAAACAAAAAAAGACCCTAAATACATATTATGTGGTGTCTCTGTGATAAAGTTGACACCTTCTTCCTCCCTGTGCTGGTTTTGGTCCTCCAACTCCTGCTCCAGCTCCCTCTGCTCCTAACGCCTGTCCATCAAGTCCTGATAACATGGAGGCCTTTTCCCATGCTTTGCTTCATCTCCTACTGAGATTATTGGGGAAGTTTCTCACCCAAAAGCATCAACTCCATTTAAATTACAGTCCATCCCTTTAGAAAGAAAGGAGTTGTTAATGGTTACATCTGGCCTCTGTGCTGTAGAAAGATTTTGGGCCCCTCTGAAACAAGTCAGGCCCACGGTCCTTTGGAGAGATGCTATGTCTGACCAGTAGGACAACCTGGATCCACATCTGCATGGCTTCAGCAATAGTGCAGCCGTTAGACACCAACATGGCACCAGGTGACAGCCCAGACCCCGTGAATCAGCATGGCTCTCATGGCAAAAGGAACCATGGACATTAACACTGACCCTGACTGCAGCAGTGCCATGGACCCAGACATGGCCCCTAGCTGCAGCCCTGGCCTGGACTTCACCATGGCACCAGATAGCAGTACATGTCCCTTAGATCTGTATGGCCCTGGATGCAGTATGGCCTCTAGACTCCATTAAGGCCACAGGTTGCATCCCAGATCCCAGACTTCCAAGTTGTCCCTGGTGGCCACATGGGCCACAGTCTTCAACACAGACCCTGATTGCAGTAGGACCATGGACCCAGACATGGTTTTCTGCAGCACCCCGGGATCTGGACGTCAATATGGTCCCAGGTAGTGGTGCAGGCCACCCACATGTGCATGGCCTCAGTAGTAGCACAGCCCTTAGACACCAACACAGCACCAGGTGGCAGTCCAGACCCTGGGGATCCACATGGCTCTCATGGAAAAAGGAACCACGGATATCAACACAGATCCTGGCTGCAGCAGTGTGGTGGACCCAGATATGGCCCCCAGCTGCAACCCTGGCCCAGATGTCACCATGGCACCAGATAGCATTATGTGCCCCTTAGACCTGTATGGCCTTGGATGCAGCATGGCCCCTGGGCACCAACATGGTTCCAGGTGGCCAATCAGACTCCACGTAATCACATGGTCCTCGGTGGTAACAGAAGCCACAGACAATGACTCAGACCATGGCTACTGTAGAGCCATGGACCCATACATGGCACTCAGAAGCAGCCCAGCCCTGGTCAACACCTTGGCCCCAGGTGGCAACACTAGCCACCCACCAAGATCTGTGTGATTCTGGTGGCTACATGGCTCTTGAACCACTACATGGCCACTGATGGCAGTTCCAGACACTAGACATTTTTGTGGACTTTGGAGGCAACATGGGCCATAGATGGCCATATAGACCCTGGCCATGTTAGGTCTATAACCCAGACATGGCTCTTAGCAGCAGCTAGTCCTGGAAATCACCATGGCCCAGGTAGCAAGAAGGCCTCTCACCTTAGCCGACTCCTCCTCGAGTTCACTTCTTCAGTTGTGTTTCTTTCCACAGCACATGAAACACTCCGCTTCTCTTTCACTCTCATTTCTCCACCACATACTTGCTCATCATAATGGGACCCACCTGCATGGTGACATACGGGGCTGGGTGGGCCAGTGGCTATCTTCCCACCAGCCTGGGTCTTGAGGACCCGGGCTGACCTTTGGGTAGCTTGCATCTGTTTGAGAAGGATGGCCAACAACATTTTTTCTTATTTATTTATTTTATCATAAATATTATTTTCTTTTTTTCTTTGAATGAAAATAGATTCTTTTGTCATACAATGTATCTTGATTATAGTTTCTCTTCTTTCTACTCCTCCAAGCTCCTCCCCACTAACCCTGCCCTCCAGATCCATTCACTTTCTGTCTCATTAGAAAAGAACAGACATCTAGGAGGTAGATAACAACCAAATATGACAAAATAAACTATAATAAGATAACACAAAAATCATCACATTGAAGCTGGACAATGCAACCCAACAGGAGGAAAAGAGCCCCAAGAGCAGGAAGAAGAGTCAAAAGACCCACCCATTCTCACATTCAGGAGTGCCATACTAACACTAAGCTGAAAGCTACAATAGCCATGCAGAGGACCTGGTGCAGACCTGTGCTGTCCCTGTGCTTGCTGCTTTAGTTCTTGTGACTTCTCTGTGCCTGACTTAGTTGATTCAGAGGGCCTTGATCTCCTGGTGTCCCCATCCCCTCAGGTGCTTACACTCTTTCTGCCTCTTCGTCTGTGGGGTTCCCTGAGGACAATGAGTACTCTAAACATCAGGAATGAGGGATTTTGTACATATTGTAATGTTTCTATAACTAACATGATTATTTCCTATTTGCATTTTCCTGCTATTTCAAACATCATGTTTTTAGTGTTTATCATGCACAAAAAGAGTAGAATAGGAGAAAGAAGAGGAAATAGGAACAGAGCTGAAGACATGAATTTGGTTTGTCTTTCAGCTCCTCAAAAGAAGACCATGAGTCATGAAAGGTGTTACAGATTCTCCAAGGTCCTCCTCACCTCATTCACAGTCTGTTTCCTGCTGTTGACAATCTTATTCTTCATTGCTCTGATCAGCAAGTCTAACAGTGGGACAAGTAAACAAGAGAAGGAAAATGACTCATTAGACAGATGGTGACACAGAAACCTGAGACAGACACTCTCTGGGGAATAGGATACATTAAGAATTTCCCTCTGTTTCAAAATAACTCTTCTGTAAAAGTCATTCATTCTCGCTAGAGAAGCATGTGTGTGTTTTTGGTGTCACAGAGTGAAATACTGGGGCATCTGTGTTAGGCTCCAGTACTGAAGATGAATCTGTATTTTCTCATCAGCAGCATTTAGAGGCCAGATCCATTGGATGCACAGATATTTGCAATTTGGAATAAGCAGGGTGATGAGAAGAGATGGCCAGAGCTATTCCAGGGACAGTGCTCCAATGGAGTTCCTTCTAATCATTTATTTTTTGTTCCAGATTGTATGAGACATGAAAGCTAATTTAGAAAATAGTGGATTTCTTTGTAGATTGGCATTCAAAGTTCATCAAAAACTAAAAAGCATAAATTATATTTTATGTAGATGTTTTTATTCATTCATTCAATAATTAGTAATATCAATTTACTATATATTAGTCAGCATGTAGAGAGCCCAGAAAGATCTACAGTCCCCAGTCTCAGAGTCCACTAAATATACTTCAATTTAGAGTATATTCAAGTGAACCAGTGCTTTAAAAATTGCATGGGAAATGCTGTGCAGGTGAGAAGTAAGAAGTAAGCACAGGGGGCTAAGAAAAGCTTGGAGCAGATGACACCTAGACCTGTGTGTGCCAGCAATGTCCTAGACATGTGGGGGCATGGAAAACATGGGCAAATATAAGACACATTACTGTCATGTATAGTGCTACATGGAGAACTAAGTATGAAACTGTAGGGACAGACAAAAAGCGGACTCAGATCACAAAACAGTGCATACCATATCACACGGGTATCCCCTCTAAATGTTTATTTAGTAACTGTTGATGAATCATTAACCAACTTAAAATTTAGTAGTTTAATTTGAACTATTTATTTAATATTACTTGGTGACTTCACTGAGCCTGGTCTCTCTTGGGAGATTCCCATGGTCCTAGGTTAACTTATTCATTTTCATGGAGTCTGCATCAGTTCAACTCAGCTTCCCATGGCAACTTCAGACTTTCAGGATGGATGGTGGCAGTAAGCCAAGCCCAACATGGAGCACACACACATTTCCCTTTGTGTATTTTAGCAGCCAAAGAACTCTTAAAGGCAGCTCAGATGAGGTGATGTTGAAACAGACCAGTTTCCTTGTAGGGAACTGCAAAGGCATAGTCCAAATGGATATCCATATAGGGAAGGTTGAGAAGTGTGTCCAGTTTTTGAGTGTGCCACAGTTATGGAGATCTGAAGAATCTGAAGTAGGACATGATAAAATTAAACCTGACTTAGAGAAGTTTGCTCTTACAGAGATGTGAAAACGAAGGGAAAAAGAAATTGGACGTTGATTCAGAATCTATTTGAGCAGTACTAGGGGTTTCATCCAAGGATCATGCTAGTGATGCACATAAAAGAAGGGAGCTTCAAGTGAAAGGAGGGCAAAGTTTTGATGAATATTAACAGCTGGGAAATAGAGGACACAGAGTGAGGTGTTGGGGCCAGATGAGAGGAACAGCAAGCAGCTTTGGAACCCATGGAAAACTGCCCACTGGTCAGCGTAAACATGATAGGTGAGCCTTGGAGAGGCAGAGCCCAGAGGACTGTTTCCTGGGGACCTCGTGCTGTACTTGAGTGTAGCTCTGCTCGTTGCCCTCGCAGTTCCCTCATAATCTATGAGCTGTTTGAAAACTCTCAGGGTGCTTCTGGGTAGCCCGGGCTGGCCTCGAACTCACAGAGATCCACCTGGCTCTGCCTCCTGAGTGCTGGCATTAAAGGTATGGGCCACCACCGCCCAGCTGATGATCCCATTATTAGCAGCTAGTTTCCCTCTGGTATATTGTGATCCATTAATTGCCCCAACTGTTCCCAACAGTGCTGTGAACCCACAAGGCTCCGGCTGAGCAGTGCAGGGATCAAGGGAAGAGAGGCATGAGGAGAGAGACAGCCTCCTCCCACAGCTGCTAACCAGAGCTGTGTCAGGATGTGGCCAGTGACCCAGTGAGTGGAGAGTGCCCATGAGTGAGTTATGAAGGCAGTGGGAAGCAGAGAGCTCAGAGGAGCAGCATCAGAAGAAATAGGATGTGAGCATTGCCTTCCCCCTGCAAGGAGGCAGCTGAGTGGGATGTGGGTGACCACACAATGGTGAGGAGCCAATGGTCCTCTAGAATGTGGTGACAGAACTTGGCTGTTCAGTCAAAATGGATGTTGTCATGTCTTAAGTGTTTGTTCATGTCGTCTGGTTCATCTGCAACTACGTTTGCATACAGAAGCGCATGAACTTATGTTTGCTGCGGAGTGTCTTAGGACAGAGTTCTCTCACAGCACGGTTCCTCTTCTCCCCTCCTTCCTATTTCTTTCCTTCCTCCTTTGAGTTCCCTCTTTACAGTATTTGCATATCGTGCTGAGTAGGTTCAGACACTACAATTCTTATCTTCTTGTTTTAAGATATTGAATCTCTGTATGTGGCCCGAGTGATTCTGTGTTGTGGTTTCTCATTCTCTTGTGGGATATCACATCTGGAAATCTCTCTTCTCCTATATAATTGTGTGATATGACAATTTATTGCCGTGTCTGGTTGTCACTTACCACGAGTTTTAGGCCGGAGACGAGGTGCATTTTCTGAGTGAGGTAGGTCTCTTCTTGACATGGCTTCAGAAATCACCTATGCAGAAGTGAAGTTCAAGAATGAATTCAAATCCTCAGGCACCTACTCAGATTCTGCTACAGGTAAAAAAAAATTCTGGACTTACTGTAGGGGGAAGGATAAAGGAAGAGTCAATAATAAACTTTGGATGATGTTGGTTACTAATCCTCTCAGTGCTCATGTCTGGGATTTCATTGGAATTGCAGGGGATTGAATTGTTTGTAGAGTGACTTCAAGGGCTGTAGAGTTTTCTAGTGGGAAAGAAAAGCTTGCGTGGCATGGTTTTTGCTCTTGCCATTTACAGAAACTATACCTTGTATCCTGCATTCTTGCATGTATATATCTTGTATATAGCATTTCCTGCTTTATAAAAATGAACATAAAATGAAATCATACTTTTCACTATTGAGCTTTTCCCCTCTATGTTTGACACTATATTGTAACTTTATGAAAACTGTTTCTGTGTGTGGAGCTCTTATCTTGAAGGAGCTTTTTCTTTTATACTATAGATCAAAGCAGAGCCCCTCCCTCGGTAGGCAGTTGCTCTACACTACATTTTATCTTCATCTAGCAAATGGTTTCCAGTCATGAGTCAGTGACCAGCAGACAGACCATATGCTAAAGAAGTCGAAAATGACTAGAAATATTTACCTTTTATTGTATATGAGTCTTTAATATTCAGACAGTCTGGAAGGTATTAGAATATATCCTGCTGCAACCACAGTAAAGAAGACCAAGAAAACATGGTGACGTGAAAAAGTACCTACAAGACAGTGTAAAAGGGAAGTCACAGGCAGATGGCAGTACTTACGTTGTGTTGTTATGTGGGAAAACATACTATATGTACATCCTTTAAAATTTGCTGAAAGGGTCAGTGTGGTGTAATTCCAGCACCTCGAAGGCAGAGGCAGGAGCGATCACCGAGGATTTGGGGCCAGCCTGGGCTACATAGTGAAATCATACCCCATTACACCTACCACCAACAAAAATAGAACTTCCTGAAAGGATATGATCAAAGTGTTTTTGTGAATATATATATATATATATATATATATATATATATATTCAAATTATTTTTCAGATTGCAAAAAATTAATACCAGTTATTTCAATAGTGTGTGTACTTTTATGTATTTTGTGATGTTTTTTACAATGGACATTATTTTTATATTATTTTAAATGGTCACACTATTAGTAATTATGTGACATGGAGAATAGGGAGACGGGGAGGGAGGAAAAGCAGAAACAAGGGTGAAACTTATCACTCATGAGATGAATGTGCTCTCCTTCCAGCTCCCAAAGTGAAGCCCAACCCTCATCTAAGTAAGTCTGGCCGCCCCTCGCTGCTCTTCACATCACTGATGGCACTTTTCTTGCTGTTGGCCATCACATTCTTGGCTGCTTTTATCTGTACGTATCCCAGATGAATCAACAGACGATGTCTGCCTCAGGTGAAGAGAGGTTCTGCTGTAGCACTTAACAGAGTATGGAGAAGAAATGTTGTTTCAGGAAAAATAATTCAAGGGGTTACATTGTGGCTTTTACTCTGTCCTTGGATTTATCTATTGTCTTAGAAAAATGGAATCCATCTCATTAGAGAAACTGGAGTGCATTTATGAGCATATGTGGGCTTGTGGAGTGAACTCTGTGGAGCATTGTCTTTGTTAGACTAGGAGGTCATATCTATGTTTTCTCATTGGCATTTAGAAGTCTATCTATATGTGTATACAAGCTATATATTTATAGGACTCCTTCATCTTGGGATAAGCTTGTGGACCAGAAGTAGTTAGGAAGAAATTATCCAAGAAGTGTTCTTTAGCTAATTACTAATTGCTCTGTCCTGTCCAGGATTACGTAAAATCTAGAAGCCAACTGAGCAAATGGGTGGATTTCTAATCATCAAAGATTCGAGAATTTCTGAAAAATTTAAAATGCATGGAAACTAGTGTATTTAGGGTGTTTTACTCATTCACTTGAACCAAGTAGTAGCCATTTACTGTATGTCTTACAGTGTGTCTAACAGACAGAGTCCTGTAAGAACATGGACTCTTTTCTCCAGAAACTTAGAGGAAAGTCAATGAATCAGTGCCAGCCAGGTTCAGTGGTTACTCAGGATGTTGAGACAGGAAGACAGCAAGTGTGGAGCTAGCCTGGACTATGTAAAAATCTGTGTCTAAAAAAATGAAGAAAAAATGGACCAGTGTCTACAACATTGTCCAGGAAGTCTTGTGCTGACACAGATTTCCTAGAAGAGACTATGTCTAGAACTGTGTGTACCAAGAATTTCACAGAGGTGAGAGACAGAAGCATGAATGACTGAAGTGCACAGTTCTAAGTGAAGAAAAAAGGACATTTCCCTAGGTAAACATAGCAGCTTGCAGAGCTTATGTTGTGCAGCAATATGAAAAACTCAGTTTTTCTCCTAAATTTTAATTTTTTTTATCAAGTATGGTTTCTGCTTAATAAATCAGCATAAATTTAATGAGGTAAGACAACGATTTATTTATCTTATGCTTCTGTGGTTTGTCAGTTTAGGCTGATCTCCACTGAGTGGCTTCTCTGGTCTTAGCTGAACTTAGACGTGTGTATGTGGTCAGTTACCAGTTCAGGCACCTCAGCCTCTGAGAGGAGAATGCCAGTTAGGAGGACTAACAGTATGAGCCACCTTTATATAGTTCCTTAGGATGTCCTGGCTTGTTTACATAGCAGCTTGCAGACTTCCAAGATTGAGGGTGACCATGAGCCAGTTGTCTCAAAAATTTTAACATGAGGGCTGGAGAGATAACTCAAAGATTCCAGAGGCCTTGAGTTCAATTCCCAGAAACCTTATGGTGGCTCACAATCATCTGTAATGAGATCTGATGCTCTCTTCTGGCCTGCAGGCATACATGCAGGTAGAACATTATATGTAATAAATATATAAATTTTTCAGACAATTTAACTTAATAGCAGATCAGAGTTGATTTTGCAAATTCTCTTAGCCAAAGGAATCTGGGAGGCAGCTCACACAGAAGACTTCACTGTTTTTCTTTCTTCTCTTCTTTCTTTTGTTCTTTTTTTGTTAACCAGGGAAATTTCAAAATCACATTGAAACAGTGTGTGGATACAGAAGTAAATGTTGTCTTTTTTTGCAAGGCATCACAGCCATGGAGAACCATTGCAACATTTCAAATGGAGAATTGGTGTAGCTGAACATAAGTTATAGACAGTGCTTTTGTAGGACTCTGAAAACAGAGTCATTAGGACAAAGAGAGAAATGAGAAGGTCTGTTTCAAACCTGATAATGAGATGAGTGTCTGAAGAACATGAGATGAGGCAACTTTGAATGGTAAAGAACACAACACCAAGGAAGTAGATGCTGATGAATATCGAGATCCAGGGATTAAGGGGTCCAAGAAGTACAGTGTGACTTTAATATTCTGATGATGTAACTCATCAACCATGAAGTTCTTCAAAGAGGTAGACAGTCTAGGATAAGTTATAGGTTTAAGTTGGCATGTGCTGATTTCAGTTTGGGGCTTATTGAATCTAACCTAATATGTTTGTGTTTAGTGAGCACAAAATCCCACACATACAGGCACCAGGCAAGACCATAGCAATACATGGCATCACTTGGGAAGATTTTGTATGAGGAGGAAGAGTCGTGACAAGACTGTAGGAAGTGTTACATTTTAAAGGGTGGATTGAGGTAAAAGAGATTATTAAAAAACAAGAAGTAATGGCAAAAGAACGGTGACGCAAATCCAGGACAGAGCAATGTGTTAAGAGCTGAGGAGGAGAACTAGATCGAGTCCAATAGCAAGATGGCTAACTAATTATCCTGGGGAATTATTGATGATCCATTTCAAACCTGGTGTGAATGAAATGGAGGAAGCCAAAGTGGTGGGGTAAGGAGGACAAGACTCTGGGAGGTAGGTAAAGAAATTCAGTTGTAGCGAGAAGCCACTCAGCTGTAAACCAGGAGAGAGTGAGCATGTGTGTGGAGGAGTAAGCTGGTCAAAATGAGGAGAGTTCAAAGTAGAAAACAGTGTTCCATAGATACATGTTGAGTTCTTTTCTATTTCACATTCTAAAATAACCTAGGGCTACTCAGAATTACCTATCCCCCTTTCCTCCCAAAGCCAAGGCAGTTTACATTCTCGAATACGAATATCTCTGTCTGCTTCATCTCCCCCAAGAGTTAACGTATTCATCTCATGTTAACATGGAAGGGTATGGCTCACTCCCTTTAGAGTCATGGCAGTGGGCCTGTCCTGCCTTTTAAATCATGGTCTTTCTTGAGTCCTGGAAGTACCTGTGGTGTCAAATAGGAGGCTGAGGACTGCATTGACTGTGGGGTGATAAGAATCTTAGGCTCTGTCTACTTAGGTAATTGGGACTTGGTAGACCTTTGTACCAGTAAGTAGACAGTCAAAGCCATAATATTTTCATGAAAATGTGGGGTTTTGTTTCTTGGTTTTTTTACAGTTTATTTTCAAAAATACTCTCAACTTTTTGAAGAAAAGAAAGCTATAAGTTTAACTCACAAAGATATAACTCACAAAGAATTGACCTGCAAAAAAGACGATCCACCAACATCTGGTAAGAATCAAAGCACCTATGAGTTTGTTTGCTTGCTGTAGAGTTTAATGGTTTTAAATAATCTTTCCTTACTTCATTCCTTTGTTCATTCATTCCTTCCTCCCTACGTTCGTTCCTTCCTTTGTTCCTTCATTCCTTTCTTCCTTCGTTCCTTCCTTTTATGTTTATTATTCTCTCATACACTGCATCCCAGCCACAGTTTCCTCTCCCTCCACTCCTCCCAATTCTCTTCCCCATCTCCTCTCTCCCCTAGATCCACTCCTTTTCTGTTTCCCTTCATAAGGGAGCAGGTTTCCAAAGGGATGTCAACCAAACACAGCATAGAAAGTTATAACAAGACTAGGCACACGCCCTCATATCAAGGCTGACTAAGGCAACCCAGTGGGAGGAACACATCCCAAGAGCAAGTAAGAGTCAGAGACACACCCACTCCCACTCTTAGGAATCCCACAAGAAAATACCAAGCTAACAACCATAACATATATGCAGCCTGGTATCCTCAACCTCTTTAACTCCTAAAATCCTTTCTCAGCCTCTTCTGCAGAGTTGCCCAAGCTCTGTCTAATGCTTAGTTTTGGGTCTCTGCCTTTGCTCCCATCAGTTGCTGGATGAAGCCTCTCTGATGACAAATAGGGTAGCCACCAGTCTATGAGTATAGTGGAATGTTGGTAGAAATCAGTTCATTGACTTTTGTTTGTTGGTTTTGTTTTTATGTTTAGCTCTGCCCTAGGTCTCTGAGCCATCCCATTTCAGATTCCTGGCCAACCAGGCAGGGTCCAGCATAGGCTCCCTCTTGTGGCTTGGGCCTCAAGTTGGACCAGTCATTGGTTGGCTAGTCCCACAAGTTCTGTGCCACCTCTACCCCAGCACATCTTGCAGACAGAATGAAGTGTAGGTTGGTTTTGTGCCTGGGTTGGAATCTCAGTCCCACCACTGAAAGCCTTGCCTGGTTACAGGAGATGACCAGTTCAGGCTCCGTATCACCCATTACTAGAAGTTTTTGAAAGGGTCAACCTTGTAGATGTGTGATGTATGCTTTAGTAGTGTTTCCTTTACAAACTTGGGTACCTTTGAACTTGGAGCATAGATGTTAAGAATTGAAATGTCATCTTGGTGGATTTTCCCTTTGATGAGTATGAAGTGCCCCTCCCAGTCTCTTTTGACTAATTTTGGTTTGAAGTCTATTTTGTTAGACATTAGAATGCTTACTCCAGGCTGCTTCTTAGGTTCATTTGCTTGGAATATCTTTTTCCAACCCTTAATTCTGAGGTAATGTCTATCTTTGATATTGAGGAGTATTTTTTGTATGCAGCAGAAGGATGGATCCTAGTTTTGCTTCCATTCTCTTAGTCTGTGTGTTTTTTCTAAGGAAATTGAGTCTATTGATATTGAAAGATATCAATGACCAATGATGGTTAATTCCTGTTATTTTGTTGTTGTTCTTGTTTGTGGTGTGTGTTTGTGTGTGTGCTTCCCTTCTTTTGGTTTTGCTGGAGTGGGATTATTTATTTCCTGTGTTTTCATGGGCATTGTTAACATCCTTGGGTTGGAATTTTCTTTCTAGTACCTTCTGTAGGGCTGGAGTTTTGGATAGATATTATATGAATTTGAATTTATCATGAAATATTATATCTTCATCTATGTTGATTGAAAGTTTTGCTATTGTAGTAAGGGCTGGCATCTATGGTCTCTTATAATCTGCAGTTTATCTGTCCAGGCCCTTCTGTCATTTTTAGTATCCACTGAGAAGTCAGGTGTAATTCTAATAGGTATGCCTTTATATGTTACTTGGTCTTTTCCCCTTGCAGTCTTTAATAATTTTTATTTGTTCTATATGCTTAGTGTTTTCATTATTATGTGGTGAGGGGACATTTTTCTAGTTCAATTTATTTGGTGTTCTGTATGCTTCCTGTTCCTTTATAGGCATCCCCTTCTTTAGATTATGAAAATTTTCTTGGATGATTTTGTTGAAAGTATTTTCTGGGCCTTTGAACTGAGATTCCTCTCCTTGCTATATTCCCATTATATTTAGGTTTGATCTCTTTATAGAGTTCAAGATTTCCTAGCTGTTTCGTGTCAGAAATTTTTTAGATTTAATATTTTTTGACTGAAGTATCTATTTCTTCTCTCGTATCTTGAATGCCTGAGATCCTCCCTCCCTCTCTTGTATTCTCTTGGTTATGTTTGCATCTGTAGTTCCCGTTCACTTACCTAGATTTTCCATCTCCAGAATTCCTTCATCTTGTGTTTTCTTTATTGCTTCTATTTCCATTTTCAGGTCTTGATCAGTTTTATTTATTTCCTTCAACTGTTTGTTTTTTCTTGGCTTTCTTTATGGGATTTATTCATTTCCTCCAATTTTTTGTTTGTGTTTTCCTTGATTTCTTTAAGGAGTTCATTCATTTTTCCTTTTTAAGGACCTCTCTCACCTGTATAAAGTTGGTTCTAAGGTCTTTTTCTTGTACTTTGACTGTGTTGGGATATGTGGGGCTTGCTGTCGTAGGACAGCTGGGCTTTGGTGGTGACATATCACCATGGCTGTTGTTGATTGCATTCTTCCTCTAGCCCAGGCATCTGGGTTTGGGGTGATTTTATGACTAGGTATCAAGTTTATCTTTGGTGGGTGTTTTATTTCTTGGTTTCTCTTTCCTTTTTGGTCTTTTCTTCTGTGTGGCCTATGGTTGAACAGTGGTTCTTCTCCCCAGCTGAGGACTGGACTTCTGGCAGCTGGCCTGGCCTCTTGTTGAGCATGGCCTCTCCATCTGAATTGGGGAATGGAATATTGTGATTAGGGGAGGGGCGACTGGGGATAGTGTCTGAAGTGCACTATGAGAGTGGAGAAAGTTCTGGGGCAGGAAGTCTATCTGGAGTTCTGGTGGCCTAGTGGTCTCTGGTCCAGCAGTTGAGGCTGCTTGAGTTTGCCTACTGGTTCTCCTGGCTGCTGTGGCTTGCACTTGAGTAGGGTATGTCTGCCTGAGTTGTGTGATATTTCTAATAGATTCCCAGGTGGCACATACTGAGACGTGGAGTACATGTACATCTAGATCAGACCAGAAAGTCTGATATGTATGCCTCCATTTGTCTACACGAGTCTTGTTTGTGAAAAGAGTTCTATCGTATTAAATTTTTTAGCTTCTATTTCTTCCTGAACCATCTCTGCACACTTGCTGTTTTTTAACTCAGCATACACACACACACACACACACACACACCCACACACACACACACACGCACGCACGCGGGCTGTAGAGATGGCTCAGAGGTTAAGAGTACTGGTTGCTCTTTCAGAGATCTTGAGTTCAATTCCCAGAAACCACATGGTAATTCACAACCATCTGTAATGAAATGTGGTGCTGTCTTCTGGCATGCAGGGATACATGCAGGCAGAACACTGTATACATAATAAATAAAGAAATCTTTAAAATATATGTATATATCTGCATATATACACACATATAATTTGAATAAAATGATGAAGCACTGTGTCATGAATACAAATTATTTAAAGTATTAATAGACTCCTTGAGAACATTTTTAAATTATAGACAATTTCATGTGATATAAAGATATTATTTTTACCCCACATATACATACACTGTCCCCTATATGAACATCTTTATAAGCAAATGTGGTTGCTACAACTATCGAGTGAATACTGACGTCATCACTGACTGAAGTTCACGATTACTAGACTCTCATCTGGGATGGCAACACTGTATTAGCTGTCACATCTCTTCAGTTTTCTCTAGGTTGGGATGAGTTTTCAGAAGATACTTGTTTTAAATGATCTGAATGTTAGTTCTGAGGATGACTGATCTGATATATTACAGGATATTCCTATATTAAAATTTGAGTAATTATTTTTGGAGAGGAAATGACAGGTGTGAAATGCTAGTTTAATTATATAGTACACAGGATCTAAACTATACAAATAATTACAGACTGTTATTGCCTGATGATCCACTTACGGAACGGA